TAAAATATGCATATTAAATTTTATTTCCGGTTAGCCTATCTCTTAAACCGGAATATTAGCCTATATATATCTTGTAACAAACTTTGGTTCTGGTTAATGAGAATACAACAATATTCATAACAAACATTCTCTCTCTATATCGTCTTCTTCAATCACCATTGTTGAGCACCTTGAGCTTGTAATAAAATCCAAGTACAATCTTCTGCTCGACACACCGAGTAAGTTACGAATAAGGAGATGAATTATTTCTATGTAAAGATCAACGAAAAGTCTGTTTATGACTTGGCCATGAAATTTCGTGCTAGGTGGAACGTTGATTTTGGTAGAACGTGTAATTTTTTTTTTCTTGGACGGTTACCTGACTCATAATTTCTTTCTTTCTTGTTTCAGCGCCTCAGCGTTTTGCTAAACCTCTTCCACAATGGTTATTCGAGTCATCGAAGAGTTACGCAAGTTAGGGCAACAATGGCTGTAAAATCTTCTTGACAAACGGATTAAACGTAGCGTAGTGCGGATCAAAACATGTCCTTTTCTGTTTTTGAGAGATTAGGTCGCCTTTTCCCGAATTTCTTTCAAAAATTGTTTCTTAGTTTTTCAAGTGCATTCGGTCTTGAATTTTCTCCTCTAAAGGAAAGACCAGCGCGGGTACCAAAGAAAAAGAAGGCTAGAAAGCCAAGCCAACCGAAGAAGAAGAACATGCTTAAACCTACGCTCAAGATTCCCCACTATGCTGAGTAATTGGATGCTCAAAGTACAATAACTCGGGATTATGATATCGCTGCTCCCGATACCTTGGTTAATGTTGAGGAGGGCTCAAGGGTCAAGTAGGGCCCAAAACCGTAAGGGATCGCGAAACAAACAAGCCGGGAAGAGACTCATGGCTTGAACGACTCCTATTGGTACAGAGTATACAAAGAAACGTGCTCAAGTCTCCCTTTTAATTTGTAAGAATAGCGAGGGAACCTAAGTTGGACTGAGACGGATACGGAGATAAATACGGAGACGGAAAACGGCAAAATAAAAATTATAGGGATACGTGTACGGC